AAAAAATGGAAATAAATTCTTTGTAAATAGGGAAGGGTGGAGGACGTGAAGGGAGGGCTAGGAATGGGGAAAAAATAAGAACCAAGATGCATTATGTGACGGTACAATTCCCAATGAGAAATGTAATTGTGTTGTATACCTACAAAGTACCAATAAAAGAATTTAATACAAAAAAAAAAGAAAGAAATAGTCATGCTCACATATTACCTGTTGGAATAAAAATTAATACAATCTCCTTGGGAAGAAACTGAGCTAAGTTAAGAAAACTGAAAAGACATTTACCTTTTGTCTGAGCAATGGCCAGTGTAGAAATGAACCCTACAGCCCATTATAACATGTGAAAACATCTTCCAGTCATTCACTGCAGTGTTTATAATAATACATTTTTTAAAACAGAAGAAAGAATAAACTGCACATTACACAATAGACTATTATTCGGCAGTTGGTTAGATCTGTATCTTAGAAGGATCTTCAGGTTGAAAAGCACGTAGATGCCCTGTTCATGATAGACATTTGCATCTATAATTTGCTTGCTGTTCACAAAGCACCTCTAGAAGGTACCCAGGAAACTGGTAGTGTGGCTGCTTCTGACAGAAGGTTGAAAGGAAATGTATTTTTCATTATACACTTTGCCTGATGCACATTCAGAATTTTATATGTGTATGTACTACATTCAGAAAAAATAATAGATGGGTTTTGCTACTGTCTTTTTCTTACTCTCATATGGGGTCTCACTAAGCATCCCATAGTTGATGTGTTTGCCTTTCCTTTCTTCTAGCAGCCTCTAAATCCATCCCAGGAAGCTAAGGTCAGACCCTTCTTCTGTGATATTGAGCAAAGTAGGTGAGTCACTCTTCTGCCAATGACCTTATTAATTGAGTTTAGACCGTAAGAGAATTTGAACACAGTTTTTAAAATTCAAAGTCCCTTTGTCCTTTTTAATTCCTCTCCTCCCAGAAGGCAGGGAGAGTGTGAAAGGGAAGTGTTCCATTGGTCTTTGTCAGATTTACAAGTGCCATAACCCGGTTGTCAAACTGGAAGGAGAGGGAACCCTGAGAGAAATGAATTGAATTGCAAAGGAGGGAAACAATTCAGTCTAATATGTGCCCCAGATCTGTGACAAGCAGATTTCAAGAATCTAGGTCTTATCCCAATGGCTTAAGCATCCTGAGTGTTTGGGGGCCCTAAAAAGCAAGCAAAAACCTCCACAACGATATGACCAAAGTAAGGCAGAAACAACCACCTTTGAAGAAACCAAACCTCCTTACCAAATATTCTAATGCCATCTGCAAAAGATGGAAAGGGCACAAGGGCAGGAGGAGATGGTGAGGGCACATGTCAGACAACAATGCAGGTGTGAAAATTTGCATGGACAATTTGTACAGATGTTTTGAAAGGCAAACTTAGAGCCAAAAAGGCTTGGATTCAATGGTACTATTTTATCAGCTAATACAAAGAGACTCAAACCAGAATTCAGTGATGACTTCATCCGGATAATTCATTTTGGTATGATACACCTCAGGCAGAGTCTGGGATTAAGCATTCCATCTCCTTCCAGGTCTGCTCTCTAGCTTTGTCTCCTTAAAAGCCTGGATTTTAGCAGGGTGTGGTGGTGTACTCTGGACATCTCAGCACTCTGGGAGTCTGAGGCAGGAGAATCAGGAGAGAATCAGCCTGGGCAACTCAGTGGCTTAGTTTAAGACTTTGCCTCAAAATTTTAAAAAAGGATTTGAGAAAGATTGTTGTGGACATAGTTCAGTACAAAGGCCCTGAGTTCAATCCTCAGCATGGGGGTGTGCTTGCATGGTGAGGTGAGCCAGGGCTCTGGAGCAGAGCAGCTCACAGTCCTTCAGGGTTTGGGAGCTGCATGCCGGCAAGTTACTAATCTTTCCATGCTTCAGTTTCCTCATCTGTAGAATGAGGACAATACCTACCTCCTATGGCTGTTATGGGAATTAAAAAGCACTTCAAAGAGGGTCTGGGATGGAGGAGATGTTACCTAAGCGCTAGCCATAATATTGATTATTGTTACTTCCAATGTCAGCATCAGAGGGAATGTTTTAAGTGGGAAAGAGCCGCGCCACCAAGGGAGGAAACCGCATTCCAACTTCTGTGTGTTCCTGGGTGCCATATGAGGTCCCTTCCTCATAAAGAGAGCTGTCCAACCACTGGACTGGTGGCAGGTAGGGGCTCCCTAGCACAGGTGAATACAAACCCGGGGTAACTTGAGCTGCCATGGATACCAAGGCAGATTCTCCTGCGAAATGGAGGGAAGGCTGAGAGGACCTCCTAGGGCCTGATAACCTGACCATCTCTAATTCTGTGCTCTTCTAGACCAGCAGCTCCGGGGGCGGTCCCATTGCCTGGTTTCCTTCCTAGCTTCATCTCAGAAGTGGCCTCATCAGCTCAGTCTAGACTTTAGTGCACCAGTATGTGTAAAAGGACAAGTTCTGGTGTTACAGCCAAGACTTTTAAACCTCAAGTTGGAGTAGACCTGAAAATGCCAACTAGAAGGCAACAGGAGTAGAAATCCGTGTGTGTGTGTGTGTGCGTGTGTGTGTGTGTGTGTTGGGGCTGTCAGTCAACACTGTCCCCTGCTGCTGTCGCAAAGGCAGGTTGTCAAGGCAGGGTCCGGACGCCCACCGCGCCTGGCCGTGTCGCAGGGCGGGGCGCGACTCGCGCGTGCTCTGCCTGGAGAAGCAGCCGCCCTCTGCGGGGCGCTTCCAGGGCCTTTGACCTTTCCTTGGGAGCTGGCAAGGACCGCGCTTCCCTTTTAATTTATTCCTCTTGGTTTATTTATCGTGTCCGCTTTCTCCTCTTGCTGGCTTGGAGGTCAGAGCGCCGGTGTGCCAAGGAACTTGCATCCCGGTCTCCCCTCCTGGTAGTGCGGCAAAACCGGCCAGAGGCGCACGTTGTCCGCTCCCAGGCAGCAGAGCCAGGGAGGGAAAGAAGTCTTCCCCGGCCTGGAAGTCAAGCCGGGAACCCGGATCCCGGGATCCCCCCTCTTCAACAGACTTTCTCGGTCCTCTTCCAGAGGGCAGGGTACTCCGGGGTTCCGTGTCCGCCCCCCCCCCCCCCCCCGCCAGGGTCTCAAGTTGCGCTCCCCAGAGGGGCCGCAAGGAAACCCTGCTCCCCCGCGCGGGGCCCCCGAATCTCCACCCGACCTTTCCGTCGGAATGGCCCGGCCTCAGCTCTCCATCTGGGCTCCTTAAATCGCATTTATCTTCTTAGCGGCCCGGCCGCCCCCCCCCCCCCCGCAAATCACAGATCCACCCCGCCCCCGCGTCCCCGGAGAGCACCCGGCCGCGGGAGCAACCCCTTAGGTGTAGGAAAAGTCGCTAAACTGGGTGGAAGCGACCTCACGGGGCGCGGCTGAGGGAGGGTCCAGCCGGGGGAAGGGGAGGCGTCCCAAGAGTTCAGGGTCAGGGCCGCTGCAGAGGGTCCCGGGCGCGCGATCACCTAACTGCTGCCCCGGGTTTCTCTTGGTTGGAGTTGGCCCCTCCCAGACCCCCGATCTAGGTTACCAGCTGGGAAGGGCTGCGGTGAGGGTCGCTGGACTTGGTGAGGGGAGGGCTGACGGCTCCCGAGGTGGCTGAAGAGTGAACTGTTTCGGGCCTGCGCCTCTCACTTCCACTCAATTGTTATTCCATCCCCGGCTGGTCGAGCTTCCCTCCCTCGGGCCGCCAGGCCGTCCCTCCCCTCGGCCTCCACCCCCTCCCGCTAAACCCTGCCGCTGGAAGCCGGCTTCACTCCTGCACGCTGACTTCCCTCCGGGCTGCTGGCTCCCCGTGGCTCCTGGTTCACCCCTCTAGACCCCCCCACCTCCTCACCCACGCCAGTGGATCCGGAGGTTCACCTCCCTCACGCCGCCCAGGAGTCGCCTTTGCCCAGTGCGCCCGGGACTTGGAGAAACTTTGCAGGCTCGGTGGTGAAATGGATTTAATCCGAGGCGTCTTGCTCCGGCTCTTGCTGCTGGCTTCCAGCCTCCGTCCGGGTGCAGCGCCGTTCCCAGCCGCTCTCCGAATGCCAGGTAATGCACTGCGTCCGCCCTGGGGCACCACGCCCTGAGCTCTCCTGTCCTGGTCCTCTGTGAGGACGCAAAGTGGACAGCGCACCACCTCTCTGTCCCCTAACCAGCGCCAGTTTAACTGGCTTCAGCTCTGCTCAGCGCTCAGCAGAGACTAGACCCTCTCCCTCCCCCAGCCCAGCAGTTTCAGGGATATTTGTCTGTGAAAAGAAATGATTTATTTTCCAGACCTGGAGAGGTGGTGGGCTCTGCTTTTGACCACAGAGAGCTAAGAGTTGGGGCAGTGATCATGCTATCTCAATTACAGAGGACTGCGACTGTGCGCAGGAGTTCAACAGCTCCTCCTCGGTCTCTAAACATCTTATTGAATTCATACCGCCTAGAGCCCAGCCATTTCCTGTGTAGTGTCTGAAGGTTCGCCAAGTCCCCCTACCCACGCACTCTGTAGCAGTGTGGGCTCTACCCTTAGGGTCCTCTTCCGGGCCGGGGCTGTTGATCCTGAAAAAGAGAACCCACTGGGTTAATTTGGTCCTGTTTTGAACTTCTGTCTTTGCTCTGCTGTTGAAACAAAAATGTATGTGTTGCAGGCTATTACAAAGGATTGGAGAGGACTTGAAAGGGAAATAACTTGCATTTCCTCTAGTTCTGTAGGTAGTAAGTCTCTACGTTTCTACTTTCATTTGGCCTGTGCTGTGAGATTATTCAAAGTAGAACATTCTAAACAATAAAGTTCTAAACATTGTTTCTGAATAACGATTTTTATTTTTCTTTGCTAGGACCATATTTAGAATTCTGAAAAAAAATCTTTCTTTCTTAGCTTACTTTGTAAGCGAAGTTGTCTTATGGGATTAATTATATCTTATGAACAATGGAAAACAGTAAAATTATTTGAATGCAATCTGCAAAACCTCACAGAAAAAACCGCAGTTCATCTTCACAAATGTTTCTATAAGAATGCAGCAAGCCAGGGAAATCTTATCAGAGGGCAAAGAAAATAATGTTGACAGGTTCCCATTTGCCTGCTTAAACATTTTTCACTGCCCAGATACTTAGCTGAAACGTTGACTTGTTGCCTTTCAGCTCTGAGAGATATCTTCAGTCTTCAGATTGTATCTGTTGTCACATGTGCAATTGTTACCTGATATGCACCACACTTAAATTATAAACTGTTCGGTTTCCACACTGTTCAATTCATTTTGGAGGCAACAGCAACAGTCCAAGGTAGTATTTTATTAAATTGTTTCTCTTGCTGCATGAGCACATAATACTTTCAAGATTCCAGTAAAGGGCTTCATTCTAACTTTACTGCTTAAGAGAACCACATCATGATCAATTGTATTCTGCAGGTTTCTTCACCTAAAACCATCTAGTCACAAGTTTTGAATAATGCATAAATGTATCTATAATTCTTAAACCTGAACGGAATGTGCCCCTGTTTTTAAAGGATAGATTTCAACCCATTTAAGCAGAATGTTAAAGTATAGAGTGCTGTATAAAATTACTTATATGGTTCACCTTACTTCCTTATTTATTTTGTAGTTCCTCTCTTAAACATATTCTTTACTTGGTTCATTCATGGCCTCATTCTTAAATTCATGCCATGACTATGTTAGGCTGGCCTCTGATTTTATTTGAGGCATAGATAGGGTTTTGATAGTGGCAACTCTACATTTAAAATATTTTTGGCATATTAAATACATCTCATTTGAAGTAGAAGGCATGTTTAGACTATGTTCAGCCAAGAAGAGTTTTTTATTACTTTATAATTTTATCCAGACACTGACTTTCAGGTTGGAAAGCTGCTCATATTAAAATGACAGCTACTTCATAAACTTCAGGGGAAATTTCCCTCCTGGGCTCATTTACATCCTTTGGAAAGACTAGTTTTTGATCCGGAAAATTGGTCCAGATTAAAAACTAAATGTGCCCTGCTTGGCTCTGATTCGAACAGCAATGAGCTAATTTATAATCTTCCCCAGACACCAGCAGATACTGCTAGCATTCATATGGGAGTGTCTTTGTACCTTGCTTCCTCCATAGAAATTGGTTTGTGTGCAGTACTTTGAAGGTAGCTTGGGCTGGCCCAGGCATTCCAGAGCAATCTCGTTTTGTTTGTATAACCCTCTCTGCCTCCTCATGCCCCTAAATCTACTTCTGGTAAGTACAGCTTTGTTGAAGTCTTGGATTCAAATCAACCTGAAAATTCCCCATCCCACCTACCTCTTGTGAGGAAAAACAAAAGGCCCAAAACAGGTAACACTTCAAATATGTGCACCCTTCTCCCACCCCAAGAGAGCTCTTCTCTGGCACTGAAGAGTAAAGAAACCTTTTCATTTACCAAGACTCACAAGAAGTGGCAGTTTTCAGATGAAATCAAAATAAATAATAACAACTGACACTAATTAAGTGTTTGCTACTCTATTCTAAGAGCCTGATTTCTCTAAGAGAAATTCTATTCTAAGAGCCTGCTGATTTCTCTACTTAATAGCAGCACCCCTGTGAGATAGGTAGGTACTACTATCCCTGTTCTACTGAAGGGGACCTTGTGGCTTAGAGCGGTTAAATATCTCACCCAAGGCCACACAACTAGTGAGTAGGGGAATGAGAATTTAGGCTCTGATATTCAGGGCTGGAAACTGAGTCCACAGCAGCCCGGTTCATGGAGGTGTGTATCCTATCCTGTAGGGTGTCTTACTGGAGGCTAAATAGGGACCTGCCAGGACTCAGAGCTCTGAGGCCAGGAGAGGGCATATCCCTGTTATGTGTAAGAGCTTTTGTTGCTCATGGGATATCCTAGGCCCCCAGACAGTGGGGTGTGGGTGATAGCCACATGGGGTTGGAAGCTACCAGGTACTGACCTCATCCATAACAACCAAGGGTGTGACCTTATAGAGTGATGCTGAGCTACTTGCTTTCTCTTGGGCTATGAGGGCCAGAAAGTCCATTAGAGTGCTTGAGGGTAGAAAAAAGGCCTCTGATGAACATTTGAGAGGACAGAGGGCCCGTAAGTCTATACTGTCATCACGGTATTATTTCCCTAGATCTCCATGGTGTGGAGGCACAATTTGTAGGAAAGCCTTATTCCTTTTCTGATATAATTAGAAAATAGACCTAGAAGGAAATGAAATCAACAAAACCAACTAGGCTGAGGGGGATGAAGTGACTTGCCCAAGTTAACATCAGAAGCTGTAGGTGGTGTAGACAGATCTGTTTTCTCTCTACAAGGTTCTGACACTATAGTTCTTTATGCTGGTCCTGATGTGGCACACTTGAGGATGATCCCAAGCACTCAGGCAAAGATAGGGTACTGGGAATTGGGGGCTTGCTGAGTTAAAGGCCAGAGCTTCCCTCTAGTCCTATACCCTGGGTTTATTTAGACAAAACTCATGGCATCAGTTAATACTCTGGCACAAGTAGAGGGGCTGAAGAATGCATGTAGGTCCTCCCTTTCCTCCTGCCTGTCCAGTTTGCCAGGAGTCCTAAGATCAGTGGGTCAAGTCAGGTTCAGAGTAAGGTTTTTCCTGGAAGATTTGGGAGGTATACATTCACCCTGAGTGAGACACACCCCTTTAGTTTTTTTCCTTCCACTTCTCCAGCTTTTCTCTAGCCACGTAATTGGATTAAAAATAAAAGATCTAGAGGGCCAGGGATTTAGCTCAGTGGTTCCGCTGCCTGCCTCACAAGTACAAGGACCAGAGTTTGATCCCCAGTACCAAAAAAAAAAAAAAAGAGAAAAATGAAGATCTAGGGAAACTGAAAGGAGAAACAAATTGCTGGAGTTAGCTCATAGACAACGTAGCTTGTTGGTTGATGGTGGAGAATATATGGCATTCTAGGTGGTTTCTGCAGCTGCTGATGTAAAGCTGAATGGCTAAGGGGTCGGGCCAGGGGTCAGAGGTCATCCTGGTCTACTCCAAATGTTACCCTGATCAACATGGAATTCACAAGAGACTCATTACTTTCTCACTTACAGCTCTCACCAAGTCCCTTTCCAAAACACATAACTTGGGGAACTTACCTCTTCTGGATGTCCCTCCCTGTTGCCTTTCCAGTCCAGTCAACTGTACTCCATCACAGTGGTGATCCACATTGTCTTATTTTTTGAGAAAAACTGGAGCTCACAAAAGTCACATATTAGAGAGAGAAGAGAAACAGGAAACAGATGTCTAGATACAGGGCTGATATATGTATCCGCATGATAGTGATCTATATATATATGTATATTAGATATTAGATAGATAGATGTAGATATATCCCTCTCAGTACCTACCTGCTAGTGTTGCATGCAATTCAAGAACTATGGCAGAAGAATCTTTTGACTTTTCCTCCCATCATTTTTCCTCCCCTCCTGTTAGTTTCTACATCATCAGTCATCTCAATAAAGAAGCATGTCTCTCTCTTCTCTCTCTCTGCTTCCTTCCTTCCCTCTTTCCCTCCATCTTCTTTCCTCCCCCTCTCTCCCTTTTTCTTTTTCCCATGATTCTCTGTGTGGTAAAGGGGCAGAGACGTCAAGGTCAGGGGTCAGTGTAGTTTGATACAAGGCAGTACTTGTTTTTCAGAATTCTTTCTCCAGGAAGAGTCACTTGGCCAGAAAAGAACCGAGTGCTGTTTTTTACTTTTGTTTTCTTAGCCAGAGCTCAGAGCTTTAATAACCTTAGAATTCTTTTGGGAATAGATGTCCATCTGTTCATGGGTTACTATCTCCCAAAAGTGGTCCAGTGATTCTGCGCTATAATTATGAAAGACAGGTTCCCAAGTGTCTGAGGCTGAGGTGGGCCTCAGCTTCCACATGGTTGTCCTGTGAATATCTTGTAGGCAAGTAGGTCTTCGGTTTTTCCCAGGTGACTAAATGAATGGCATGATGTCTTGATTACAGCAGAAAACCTTTTGAATTGGTCAAGACCCCTGCATCTAATCTTGGTCCCTGCCCAACAAGGTCCACATATTGGAAATGAACCTGCTGTTTCAGAGATAGAAAAAGTGAAAAAGGAGAAATCCTGAGT